TTTCTGGTTTTTGGAGTTGTTATAGGTACATAAAGTTTGATGACTCTTTTGACTTCAAGTAAAAATACGTTGTAATGGTCTTCAACAGTATTGCATCCAGTGAATAGAAATTGCCAATCAAGGGATGAGAGATTGTTGTCTATAAGATCATAGTTGCCTTTTTTGAAGTTATAATTGGGGATCACATCACTGTGTTGATTTTTGTGTGCAGGTATGTTGAGACAAAAGTCAATCATGCTGTGGTCACTGTTGGAAAAGGGTTCTTTAATTTGTATTCCGTAAATTGAATTCAAACTATTGCAGAAGATGAGATCGAGGCAGTTGTTCAGTCTAGTATTGTTGGTTACTAGTTGTTCCAGTCCCAGGTTTGTTACAGCATTGTAGAAGGTTGCATGTATGGGTTCATTTTTACATTCGTTTAGGGTCCAGTTAATGTGAGGTAGATTGAAGTCACCAAGAAAAAGTGTGTGGGCAGGATGTTGCCCATGTTAGTAGTGAATTTAGCTTGTTTACATGTTCAATGTCATAATCAGGGGCTCTGTAACATAGTAAGAATTGAAATGTGATATTTAAGGACAGTTCACAGATGATGGTCTCAGGAAGAGCAAGCTCTTGGGTAACTTGGATGTTTTTTAGATGTAAGGACTTTTTATAGAAGATAGCAACACCACCTCCTCTACGGATTTCATGATCTGATCGGTAAACAAGATAGTCTCTTATTGTGGTAATGGAGTCAGGGAAAGATGCATTGTGATGACCTGTAGTCTCTCAACCCAAAACCCAAAACATATATTAAAGTCCGGTAAAGCCTTCAACTTAACTTCACTGTTTTATAAGGCACAGTTTAAAGTCACAAAAGTAAATAATGAGGCAAACAGAAAACCAAAACAAACCACATTGATGAGAGTTCCGAAGCAAGCAAAGATAACTAATTATAAACTCCAGGAAAATAACAGAGAAAAGTCCGTGGGAAGAATGCCAGCAAAGATAAACCTCACTAATTGACTGCAGCAATTCTAACTGCGCAGTTACAAACTTATATACATAGCTCCCACCTGCAAGCCACAAGGAGGATCATGGTAATCTCCTCTTGAGTAGACCTCGCTTTTCCCTGATCCACTCCTCCCTGCGTGACCTAGGATGGAGACGGGATGGGCCTGGATCCTCCTCTGACTGCTCAGCCGGCCTCTGCCCTTCCCCAGCCTCCTCCACCACACCTCTGGAGCCACACTCCCACTCCCTGTTGGCTGTTCCTCCTCTTCCTCAGAGTCAGACTCCACCAGGGGCATGACATGCATTGAGCCATGTTTCACAGACAAATATGATGTCGAATTTAGTCATATTTAGTAAGAGGAGAAATTCAGGTATTTTATTCACAAGGCTTCTTGCATTTAGTAGCTTGCATTTAAGGCCAGTTGTAGTTGGAATTGAGGTAGTTAGGGGTGTGCGTGCCTAGTTTTGAGTGATGGTGGGTTGGATGAGGTAGGGTTGGATGCGCAGTTGTGGGTTGTGTGACTTACTTTTGATACAATCAGAGCGGTAGTCAATGTAGAGATCCTTCTCTCCATTGTCTAGACGTCTTTTGAGTTCCTTGCGGAGTTCACGGGAACAGATACTTTGCAGTATGGATAAGTCTGGTCTTGAGCAAAGTTTTTTGTGGTTGGGACTGGTTTTTGCAATGACGTTTATTGTATGAATGAATATGCGTTTGCTGGACTCATCTTTGCATACAACTGTACAAAATTTTGGGGCCACCGAGCCATCATTGTATTTGAACTCAGGGCCATCTCTGGTTATTTCAATGATATCTTCAGGAGAGATTTTTGTTGTATTTGAGTTGCTTATGATATTACGAACTTTGGTGATGTCATCTGATTCATTGGTGTCTTCAAGACCAAATAAGATGGCATTTGGACGTTTCTGATCACGTTCCATGTCTCTGATGAGTAAGGGGATATCATTTGTGGAATTATTTGATGCGATAGTAAATTACTGTATTTGTAGTTGTGGTTTGGTGGTTATTTTTGGTTGTAGTTGTGATTGTAGTTGAGGTAGTAGTTGTGGTAGTGGTTGTTGGGTTGGGATTTGATTTTGAGCTGATAGGTAGTTGCTTATCAGTGCTGTATTTTTTTTTTCAAGAGAAATTAGGCTTTCTTGTATAATTGTTTCAAAATGTGTTGCTAAGCATTTTTCATTTGAGTGCATGAGTGATTCTATGCTATCAACTCTGTCAGGCAAGGTACTTGGTTTGTTTAGCTTAGGAAAACATGATGGACATAGACAAGGGAATGTATCTGATGCTTTTAGGAGATCAGCTACGTTTTTGTTTAAGTTTAAGCAGGCAAGGTAGGCTTGATTGTCACAGAGGTAGCATTTGATGTTATTTTCGCTTTCATTGATGGTTTTAAGACATCTGAAGCATGTACAGGAGTCTGGGAGGTCATTGGTAGAGATAGTATTTCTTTGTTGTTGTTTGGTAGTGGAGGATTTGGAGTTTCTGGCTGGCATGGTCAATGACAATAGTACACTAAACAATTACAATAATTAATGTGATAGGTACTTAATGAATGTTGGCAATTAATAAATGTTAATTGATAAGTTAGAAATCAAAAGTAAGGTTACTTATTACTAAAAATCAACCAATCAACTTATTACTAAGAATCAATCAATCAACTAGATAATGATACAGTATTAAATCTCTATCAATTCAATTAATCAGTAAATTAGTGGTCATTTAACAATTAATTATACTATTATATGATAAATCAATTATTATAGACAAAGCATTATCTATAAATATTTGGACTTGAGGTACTGAAATAGTGAAGGTAGTAAAGTATTGGAGGTTTGTTGTTTAAAGTTCCTTTGTTTTTCCTTAAAGCCACATTTTTTGGTTTTTGTTTTGTTTTGTTTTAAAGAGGAAGCGTTGCTGTTTGATAGATTTGAATGGAGAAGAGTGAATGAGCTCACCAATCATCTACTTTGGAGTTTGGAAAGGAAGAGATTTGGGTGGGGGTTTAGTGGAGGTTGTTCAATCAGCCGAGTGGGAATTTAAATTCAGGCTGACTAATCAGCTGGGTGATTTGAATGGAGCTGGGTGATTTATATGGAGACTATCAATTCTCCGTGAGTCTCCTTTGTTCTCCCCAATTAGCAGCCGTTTAGAATTAGTCTCTTGCTCTCTTCCAGTCCCTACTCCCTTTTGGATGTTTAGGATTATCCTGTCAGTTTCGTCTCTTTCTCTGCAGTTCAGATTCACACTCTACACCAGTCAATCTTCACTCTCAGAATCAGTCTCTCTGTAAGTGTTTGAATCAAACTCTCATCTAAACACAGCTCGTCCCGACTCTTATCTGTATCCGCTCTCCGCTATCCACTCTCCGCTCTCGTTTATTCACAGCTCGTGTCAGCTCTTATCACTATCAGCTATCCGCTCTTTGATCTTTGCACGCCCTATTCGTTATCCACCAGTCCCAGTTCTTTCAGGTCTCACCCATTCGGAATGGCGTCCTACGGAATGGAGTCTTAGGTTCTCTGCTAGGGATGATGTCCTGGCTCACTCTCTTGGCTCACTCTCAGGATGGCTGGCAAGTTCTCAGAACCTTCCGAAATCTTTCAGCAGTCCCAGTTGAGGTAGATCGTGGCTCCGTTGGCCCCAGACCCCACACCCCGTCTCCAGCGATGCGGTTAGGCATTTGCCTCGATCGCCATCTTCAAGCAAATCCTTAGAGTAGGAACACAGCGACTCTGGCAGGAGGATTTTGGGCTAACGTGGACCTCAACCAATGTATAGAGGGTCATCCTGAGTGTTGAGGTAATTCCCCGTTAGGAGAATGAGTGCATACAGGGAGACATAGTGAGAGTAGTGAAGATACACACACAGCACACGGATACACTGTACAGTAAATGTAGGTTTTTACTTCCAATAAAAGTTTAAGCAAAGTCCACGATAAGCAGTCCAAGTCATTCACAGGTAAAGCAGTCAGTGTTCAGTTCAGAGATAATCCAAATATCAAAGTCCAACATCAAAAAACAGTTCAGTAACAGACTTACATTAAATCCAAGAATAACAGTCAATAGGGAAAAATGGAGGAACAGCAACTCTCTCCAACAGAAGAAATAGAGACTCACTGAGACTCCCAGGTTTCTGGCTCCATCTTATGGCCATTTGCGGAACCACACCCAATTACAGTTTTAGTATTCTCTTAAAAGACATAGTATTAAAATGTCTATCCTAGTTTATATATTTCCAACCCAAATAACTGTTAGGTGACTTTCATTCCTAACACTGAGGTAGCAGTGTGCAGCTAAAGGTATCCTTTTCTTCTTCTTCTTCTTCCTCCTCCTCTCCCTCTTCCTCCTTCTCATTACATGAGGAGTACTCATTGGGGAACACAAGTATTTGTGGCTTTTGTGAAGAGAAAATATATTTGTAGAAATATGTACACAATAGCTATGCAAGTGAGTAGAAAATGTATACATTGTGTGTGGATGTGTATAATCCTGACAGGAGGAAGAGATTTGGCTATTTGGCTGCTTTAGAGATTTGGCTATTTGGCCGTTTTAAAGAATATAAGTTGATTGTACTGTAATGTCAGCAGTGGGTACTTTGAAATATCTGCTGGTGATTGTTGATCATTTGACTGGATGGTTGAAAGCTTTTCTTCGTGTGAGAGCAAGTGCACAAATGACTGTGAAGTTAATATTGGAACAGATATAAACAAATATATACTGTATATATAGATATGCATTGATAGTGCATTTATAGTGATAGATGTACACATTTTACTTTTCATGTGGTAAAAGGGTATAGGAATAGAATTGCAAATGAATTGGCAATAGACCTGTTGGGCTTTTTCCTCAGGTGGAGTGAAGAATGAGAACTATAAAACAATACATTAAATAAATTAATGTTAGCAATTCAATTACCCTGGATGAAATGTTTACCTCTAGCTCTATTGTGAGTGCGTACTTGTTTGAGAAAAGATGTTGAAATTTCACTGTATGAAATGATGTTTGGAATACCTTATACTGGAACTGTGGGTATGTCTAGAATTGTACTTGAAGATGTGTTTTTTAGAAAATATATACAGGGACTGTCCCAGTGTTTTTTTCTTTTAAGGTCTGAAGGACTTTTGGCGCAAACACCACCGCTTGATTTCCAAGTGCATGATTTTAAGAGTGGAGACTGAGTCCTGACAAAGCAGTGGAGAGCTTTGGGGAAGCTGAGGCCTATCTGGGAAGGACCATTCCAAGTACTGTTGACTACTGAGTCGGTTGTGTGGACGTGTGAGTGAGGTTGGACACATCATTCGTGTGTGAAGGGACTTGTGGATCCGGTTCCTGTTTCCAGTGGAAGCAAGCTTCGGAAGGACTGGACTTTTTATTTTCTATTTCTTTTAGACAGTGGGGATAGATAATTACATGTCTAGTTTCGTTTAAGTTTGTGGAACTTTGAGATGTATCGTTGATTATTTGGTTGAGTGTAATACATGTTTTCCTTGTATTGTTGATTATTTTAAGACATGAAATAATAGATTGTTGTACACAGGTATTGTGTCCTCTGAGTGCGGAAGAAGATAAAGAAGTGGATGTAAGTCCCCAAAGACCAGTTGTAAGTTTTGAAGTGTAAAACTACATACGTTAAGGTGGGTCGGGGGCCTAGTCCATTTGTTAATATGATGTAGATAGTGATTATTGCCTTATGTGGGGTAGGTATGGAGGCTTCTGAGGTATTGCCTGGTTATCCATTAACGTGGCAATTATTGTTTCCAAACTGAACCCGACAGTACAGAATATGAAGGGCAGATATCACTGACACTGAGGAAACCTATGGCTGAGGTTGGAATCTGTATAAGATCCACCTTAGATGATGGTTTGTATTTGAGAAAATATCCAACATGTAACCGTACATATGACATACGGACTTGTCTAAGAGGATGGAACAACTATATGATCGTTGTTTTGACATGTATGGCAATTATTCTCCTTCCTATATGAGATTTAGCGCTTTGGAGAAGGGATTGTTTATGTCATTCATTGAATTAAGAAGTACTCTAATGAAGTTGATGTTTTTGTGTGGCAGTTTAGCTATTGCAAAACGTCCATTTAACTAGAAAGGTAGATGTACAGTTGGATGTTTTGAAGTACCAAGAGTTTTACATAGAAGTGTAAGATACTGAAGGAAAAGAGCCTGTTGTTGCTAAGAGCGAAAATGTTTTTCTGGAATAAATTAGAGTAGCTTTGAATAGTTTTTCTTTTTGTGTGAAAGGAGAGACTACAGTTAGACATCATGTCTACTTGTTTCATAGAAGTTCCAGTGTCAGGAAGATTTTTTTGATGGCAGAGTTTAAGATTATTATACATCCTGATGCTTAATTTGTCAAAGATGATACTTTGTTTGGATTTCCTGTGCAGCCAACAAAATAGTCTAATCAGAAAAAGCTGACAGTTTTTCCAGCTTATGATTGTGTTAAGTATAAACATCCAGGTGACAAAACAATTTATACTTATTTGCCTACTGAAAAAGGTTTTTTTTATTGTATGGAAATTGAAGACGTAGGTGGAATGACACATTTTGTATTTACCTAGAGGTTGGTTTATGTTTTGTGGAGTATATGCATATGCATTTATACCAGTTAATACAATGGGTGTGCAATTGGTCATTTAATGACTGTTATGGCAACTGCCCATGTTAAGGATATAAACAAAAAAATTAAATTATATGATGAGGTGCTGAACATGAATCTGTGGGTGAACATGTGAAGAAATATAGAGGAAAAACATTAGTGTTTAATGATACTTCTTTTACAGAATGTGATGATATGTAAGTTGTGTTTCCGCTGTTGTTAAGGAAAAACCTGAAGTAAAACGTAAAACGTTTAGTAAGCAGGAAGTTAGGCTTATGTTGCAAAAGCCTGATGGAAATTCTCAGGTGTAAATTAGTTACAAAACAAAAACGGTGGATTTGTTATTACACCTGAGAATGTGAAGAGCTGAACTGAAGCCGTTTTGTGTTCGCAGTCTGAACTTTTGAAGCTCAGAACATTTATGTAATGTGTTTTCTGCTAGAAATTATACAAGACTGCAAAACTATGTACTTGGCATAAGTTAGAGGTATGTGCTGGGGTGCTCTGACATTATAAATCACATTAAGAGATATTAATGGTTTTCTTATAATCTTCTGGTATTTGAATAACAGGAAATCTGACTATAATGAGAATGTTGGGAGTTTTCAGTGGAAGGTTGGAACTTTCTTATGAAAACGTTGTATAACTTCTCTATATGTGGACAACAGGAAGTGTTATGTAAGCATGTGATTTGATAAACCTATATAAGCTGTATCCACTAAATGGAAGTGTCTCCTTCCCCCTAGAAAATGGATTTTTTTCTGGAGTAAAGGGGTCCATACTGCAGTATTTTCCCTAATAAAGCATCCTATGGATCAGATTATCAAGCCTATTGATTCATTTTTATGTACTTCTCACAATTGTTAAACAGAAAATACCAATAAAGGAGAATAGTTGTAGCTCAGGGTTGAAAGGAGGGGTCCTTGGTGCTCTTTGAGCTTGCTTGTTTTCTTGCAGATGTTTCATTACCCAAACTAGGTATCATCATCAATGCTCTGATGATGATGTTACCTAGTTTGGGTAATGAACCATCTGCAAGAAAACAACCAAGCTTAGACAGCACCAAGGAACCATCAGAAAATACACAGTAGTAGTCTTGCTGAAAAGGAACCAAAAATAAGTCTTGTCTCACTAACTTTCCAGCTTCCTTCAGGGTGTCAAAAAGGACATGCAACAGATCTTGTACACTTGAACTTTCAAAAAGCCTTTGACAAAGTCCTTCACAAAAGGCTCCTGAGCAAACTCAGCTGCCTTGGGTTAACAGATACTCTCATGGATAGGGAACTTTAAAAAAAAATCAAGAGACTGAGAATAGGAATAAATGAACAATACTCATACTGGAAGTCATGCAAAATGAGGTCTCTTGGGGATTGGTGTAAGGCAGGGCTGTCAAACTCCTGGCCCACTGGCCGAATGAGTCATATGCTAGCCACACCCAGTTTAGCAAAGGGGGAAAAAAGTCCCGATACATCCCATTACTATGTTTGACACCCCTAGTGTAAGGAATGGCACTTTTACTGATAATTTTTATAAAACCTATCTAGAATTAGGGCTGATCAGACCATGTTTGCTGAATACATCAAACTATTACACACCAAATTAACAGAATAAGAGAGATGGAAGGGACCTTTGAGGTCTTCTAGTCCAACCCCCTGCTCAGGCAAGAAACCCTATACCATTTCAGACAAATGGTTGTCCAATCTCTTCTTAAAAACTTCCAGTGTTAGAGCATTTACAATTTCTGGAGTCAAGTTGTTCCACTGATTAATTGTTCTGTCAGGAAATTTCTTCTTAGTTCTAGGTTGCTTCTCTCCTTAATTAGTTTCCATCCATTGCTTCTTGTCCTACCCTCAGGTGCTTTGGAGAATAGGTTGAGTCTCTCTTCTTTGTGGCAACCTCTTAGATCAGGGGTCTTCAAACTTGACAGCTTTAAGACTTGTGGACTTCAACTCCCAGAATTCCTCCTCCCAGTCACGTTAGTTCAGGAATTCTGGGAGTTGAAGTCCACAAGTCTTAAACTTGCCAAGTTTGAAGACCCTTGCCTTAGATATTGGAACACTGCTATCATGTCACCCCTAGTTCTTCTTTTCATTAAATAGACATACCCAGTTCCAGCAACCATTCTTTATACGTATGTTTTAGCATACACTCCCCTAATCATTTTTGTTGCTCTTCTCTGCACTCTTTCTAGAGTCTCAACATCTTTTTTACATTGTGGCGACCAAAACTGGATGCAGTATGGTCTTACCAAGGCATTAACACTTCATGTGATCTTGATTCTATCCCTCTGTTAATGTAGCCTAGGACTGTGTTGGGGGTTTTTTTTTGGCAGCTGTAGCACACTTTTAAATCAAAAACTAATTGTGATGAGCTCCAAAAGCAACCTTCCAATCTGGCTGGGCTTCAGAATGATAAATGCAGTTCACTGTAAATAAATATATGGTATATGTTGACACAAAAATTCATGTATACATACAGAGCCCACAGTCACTATTCAGAAAAGGTATCTTGGAAGTCAGGGCAGATGGCTTAATGAAGATATCAATGCAGTTTGCAACTGCTATAAAAATGTTAAATTGTAACTTGGGAGTCATTAAGGAGAACCAAAAATAGAATTCTTGGTATGATATTCCCTTTATATAAATCTGTGGTAAGACCACACCTTGGCTACTTTTTTGGACACACTTTAAAAAGGTTATTATAGAATTAGAAAGGTGCAAAAAGGGGCTACTAAAAGGATTAGGGAGGCTGGAATAGCTCCTGTATGTGGAAGGATTACAGTAATTGGAACAAGGTCAAGCAAAGGGAGACATAACAGAAATATGTTGGCGTAAGTAACACAGAAATGGAGTTCTCCTTTTAGCGTGCTATTATCTACTGAAATTAAATGCAGTGTGATTGAGGGCCAACAGATGTAAGTACTTTTTTTGTTACAGACTCAAGAATTCAGAGCCACAGTTGTGGTAATGGCAGCCAATTTGATAGCATAGAAAAGGAGACTGGATAGTTCCATGGGGGAATCACACTAACGCTGGCTACTATTATGAATACTGATGACTGTTTACTATTTCCTGAAACAGGGCACGAGTAAATTTGTAAATTTAACTTATAAATAAATGCTCCTTGCAGGAAAACAGTAAGGAAAAGGGTTCTAGCCCTTCAGCTCAGGCATACGAGTTTTCCAAATGAATCCATGTGGTCACTGTGCTGAACTAAATTCAACACTGAAGGAACATACAGTAGGCATCTCTCAAACAAACGTTACATCGTGTAGTTATCATGGGTTTCCCAAGAGTAAATTTAGTAACACAACTGCTCAGGCTATTAAGATTGAAAGAGACTTTATTCCTTTCCCCACTTCCTAGAGTAGCAGGCGCAATTTTCCTTCTTTCCACCTCGCAAAAAAAAATTCCCAATGGCCCTTGCTTATCACGCCGCAGTCTGACCAACCTCTGGAAGAAGCAGAGACGCTCCGAGGCTCAAACCTGACCAAACTACTCGAGGCAGCTCGACCTCTCGAGCGCTCCGAACCCCACCCTCCCTTTTCGACGATCGTTGCTCTTAACTGGGCCGCCGCCGGCGGAGACGACAGATTGGGTTGCACTGAACAAAGCCCAAAGCCGTGTAAAACTGACACCTTGCAGGCTTTACAAGTGATTTTATTCCGCCCTCTGACCTGCCAGGTGGCTCACCTTATTATTGTACTCTTCTACGAAGCTGCCCAGGGCAAGTCGAAAGCGCTTGTCAGGCCTGACACTCCAATTCATGGCGTAGACGGTCCATGGCGCCTCGTACTTGTAGATCTCTTTACGCTTCCCGTGCAACGACATGGCGGACGGGAAAGCTTACTCCGCCACCCTCTCAATACCTCATCCGATATCACTCTCAACAGTCTTTCTTCACCTCACACAAGGGCGATGACTAATCCCACTCCTCCATTCTCCCTGTTCAAACTCTGATTTCTCATTGGCCCTCGACCACGCCTTTCCGCAACTCCTGGATTTTCTATGGGTTTTCCGGTACGTCCATCTCACTGAACCTCCGAAAGAGAAAATATGTATTAGCGGAGAAACTTGTCGTTCTTGGATAAAGACCGCCTCTCTCATTACATGTGAGCGTATGACGTATGAGTTAGTCGCTGTCTAAAAAAAAAAAAAAAAAGACATAGAGATAGAAATATATAGAGCCACATCAAGCTTGGAATATGAATTCCTGGTTCCATTATTTTAGATTGTTCCGGAGGTTCGAGGCAATCTAGAAAATTTCACCGAGTCAGAAAAGGGCGGTGCATGCAGGTAGAAATAAGAAGATGAAAGAACACTGATATGTATAAGTAAAGGATGCAAGAATTGGATTAATTATTTATTTATTGTAATTTGTCAAACAGAAACAAAAACAGAAATAATGTAAAAAAAACAATGACGGAGACGTTAGGCACGTTTTCAGTGCACTTATGCACATCACCTCTATGGCAGTGGTGGGATTCAAATTTTTTTACTACCGGTTCTGTGGGTGTGGCTTGGTCATGTGACAGTGGGCACGCTTGGTGGTCATATGACTGGGCAGGCATGGCTGGGTGGGCGTGTGATGGGGTGGGTGTGGCCTTAGACAAAGCAGGTTTTCTTGAGTTGCTGGAGTTGTCCCCAAAACTGGGCTCTTGTTTGGTGTTGAAGCCGATAAGTCATTGGACACAAGGTGTGATACAATATACTTTTATTTTGGTACCAAGATATAAGGACCCTGGTCTGAAAGCTAACCAAGGGCCTCGATGAGAATCTTACAGCAATTTTTATAGTCAAGGGGTGGTGGCATTCAGCCCTTTGCCCTTACCCTAATAATGCGTGCATAACAGATAATATTGATTGGCTATTTGGATCTCAGCCCCCTACATAGCTAAATGTCACGTCATCTGTTTTTCACCCCAGGTCACGGGTATCTTGCAAAGTGTCCCAGTTTCACGTGCCAGCTATGTGGTTTTGGGGGGTTTTCTTATAAGCAAGCTATTCTTGTTCCTAACATTCTGGCTAGTGGTTTAAAGTGTTAACTTATGCCTTGCTAAGAATGTGCAGTTCCATACCCCTTTCCTATTGCAGAGCAGCTCAAGGTAGCTCCCCCAGACCCCGCGACCTTTCCACAGAGAAAAGTAAAAGCAGTTTTAAATCTTTGTCTGAGACAGCACACCCACTCCCCCGTGACCCCGTCCTTCTGTAGAGAGAGAGAAGACAGGAAGGAGGAGGGCTGCTTAAGGCACAGAAGTGAAGACAATAGAAAATGTATCAGAATTCATATTCCTCACTCTCATGTCCATTCCATCCATACCTGGATCCTATCTCCACATATGATCCTTCATCTGATGCCCAGGGCCTCCTCTCTACATATATTCCATCATCTGATCCTTCATTCCCTCCTCGAGGACCTTAGGAAGGCCTACTACCCAAAGGTCCTCCTAAGACGATCAACTCTTTTTCAATCCTTATTTGCTTTTAACCAGTTGTCTGTGTAGAGGTATCACACGGGATGAAGACTAGTCCTGCTATTACACACAACAACAGCAACAAGAGCTGTTTGACCCAGGCAGTTCCTGGCAACCATGAGAACCTTTGGTCTGTCCCCAGTAATCTCTGTCCAATCTGGGATGCTGTGTCTTGCAGGTCCATTGCAGCTTCCCTGACCACTCCTGATTTTTTCATATAGAAACAACATTCTTCTCCAACCTGTGATAGAGGTCATCGTGTAGGTTTGCATCTACCAGGATCCCGCCCCCCTCGAGTGCCTCTTGCTTCCAGTCAAATGTTGCATAGGCCCCTTTTTAGCCTGGGTGATATCCTTCCTTGTGTCCAACTTAGGTTTGAGTTTTGGTTTTGGTGATGGGCTGGGTTTGTGACAGTGAAGGACACGATAGATGCGACAGCGGTGAGCGGTGGAGCAGAGTGGCTCAGGTCCCTCGTGTAGTGTTGCTGAGGACCCCAAACCAGGGACCCTGATCCTTCAGAGTCAAGTGGCATACAAATTCAATAAATTATTATTAATTGCATATGTATTTCTTCATGCTTGGTGACAAAAAGACTGCCTGCCTTAACTATTCAGAGGCTTTATTAACCATCATTTAGTTTGGAAGCAGCAGAGCAACTTCTGTTCCAAATAATTTTACCCTCATTAACCACAGACCATAAAGCCAGAAAAATTTTCTACCTCATGACCTATATCAATGATTAGATAATGATGTCTCTAAAACAATTTCTATAAAATAATTTATCAATTGATTAATTAACTTATTGTTTGATTAGTGTGATTAGAGTGTTTAGTACAAATAGTGTGATTACTGATCAGTGTAAAAGATCAGCTATTTGTGTAATTTAATTGATTAGTAAAATTAGTGATTTAGTGAATTTAATTGACCAGTGTGCTTAGTGATTAGTGTAATTAATTGATTAGGCTGATTGCTGCTTAGTGAAATTACAGTATTTGACTAGCATGATTATTGTATTTGATTAATTGGTATGATATTGGCTATATTGATTACCCAAATATCTTGTTTGATTGAGCAATTTAATCAACATGCCATCTCCACCTACCATGCCAGGAAAAAAATCCAATGCCAAACCACAACCCAAAGAGAAAGAAATCCCCACCAATGAACCACAAGACTCCTGCACATGCCTTATATGTAAAGAAACTCTAAAGGATAATGAAAATTCCACCAGATGTTCCCTATGTGACAACTACGCTCACCATAGCTGCTTGGGATTACCCAAGCAAATGACTCAATTTCTAGAATCATCCAACCATGCATTTCCATATTTTTGCCCACCATGCAAACCCAAACTGGACAAATATATTAATTACCCTGTTTGATAGAGTTGATACCATAGAAACACAAATAACATCCCTTGTTACCATAGTAGCATCCCTGGACATTATAAAAGCAAGATTAACTAACCATGAAAAAAAAGACTCAACACAAAAAAACAAACATCCAATAGCTACAAACCACATCTCTACCCAACAACCACAACCCAATCCACAAAAAACCACAAATCCAACAAATAATGATATCTCAATCCTCATCAAAGAAGCTGTTGAGCACGAATGGAAGCATCCAAACACCATCTTATTTGGTCTAGAACAGTGGTCGCCAACCAGTGGGCCTTTTGTTATTTAAATTAATCTACCTGGTAGTACAATTCCCATTCTGGGAAGCCAAATCCCACTCTTTCCTTTGCATCTTGAAGATGTTTCAATTTAATCCCTGGTCTCTTTCCCTGCCATGCAAAATTTAGTGTCATTTTATTCAAATCCTTAAAGAATTTTTTATCTAATTTAATCGGTATATTTTGAAACAGGAATAGAACTTTGGGTAGTATATTCATTTTAATTGCTGATATTCTTCCTATTAGAGTTGTAAATTGTTCCAATTTTCTGTCTTTTTTGATTTCTTTCAGCAGATTCTCATAATTATCTTCTTTGATCGTTGAGCAATGTGCCAAAATGGTAATTCCTAAATATTTTATTTTTGGGACTATTTGGATATCTAAGTTTTTGGCTAGTTTTTCTTTTTGTTTATTGGTCATATTCTTGGCTATAATTTTCATTTTGCCTTTGTTTATTTTCAGGCCAGCTACCTCTCTGTATTCCTCAAGCTTTTCTATTAATTTCGGGCCCGTTTGCTCAGGACCTTCCATAATAAAAATTAAATCATCAGCAAATGCTTGTAATTTAAAGTTTTCTTTCTTGATTTCCAGCCCTTTTATCTGAGACTCTTGCCGAATTGTTCTTGCTAAAACCTCCAATATAAATATAAATAATAACGGGGAGAGGGGCCAGCTTTGCCTCGTGCTTTCTGTATCTTGAAATTATTTGTCGTTTCTCTGTTTATTATTATTTTTGCTTCTTGTTGTGTATATATTACCGTGATTATATTTTGCCAATATCCATATATTTTGCCAATATCCATATTTTTGCCAATATCCATATATTTTAATTGCTGTATTAGAAATGGCCAATTAACATTATCGGAAGCTTTCTGAGCATCTAGAAATAACAGTGCTACTTATCAATTGCTATGTGCTTAATAAAATTCGAGAATATCTAGAACTATTCTTAAGTTTGGTTTGTCTTTTTGTTAGGAAACCATTTTGGTCACTGTAGATGAATTCATTCAAATAATTTTTAAGTCTCTCGGCTATAATCGTTGTGAAGATTTTATAATCTACATTCAAGAGGGATATTGGCCTGTAATTTTGAATTCGTGTCTGGTCTGTGCCCTCTTTTTTATCAGTACAATATTGGCCTCTGTCCAGGATTTTGGTATTTTTGCCTCAAATAGCATGCATAAAAAACTTCCTTCTTTTTATAAAGATCTTCAAAAAATTTACATGCAATTTCTTTTTTCTGTTCTATCCCTTGTTTTCTGTTCTATCCCCTTTCTCATCTATTAATTGGTAGATCAATCTTTTTTGTTTTTCTTTTTTAAGTTTATAGGCCAACCACCTTCCTGGTTTATTGGCCTGTTCAAAAAATATCTGTCTGGGTGTATTTAACTTTGAAACCATTCCTTCTTGTTCGATTAAATTTAATTTATGTTTAGTTATTATCATCTGTTTTTTCAATTTGCAATCTTTTGTGGTGTTTTGCAGCTGAATTTCTAATTCTTTGATTCTTTGTTCTAATTTATTTTGTTGGGCATATTTTTCTTTATTTCTTTTAGCAGTGTATGATATCATTGTGCCTCTTATTATTGCCTTCATTGTATCGCAAATATTCTGTTTCGTAATTGCCTCATTATTATTTTCTTTTAAAAAATAGTTTAATTCCTTGTCAAGTTTATTCATAAATTCTTTCTCTTTAATTAACTGTATTTAAGGTCCACCTTTTCCTTGGTTTCTTCCTGCCTTTCCACACTACCTGAATCGGGTTGTGATCTGCCCATTCGTTTGGTAAAATTTCAATCTCTTTTAATTCATTTACTAATTCACCATTCATCCACACCATATCAATTCGTGTCCATGATTGGTGAGGGTTGGAGTAAAATGTAAATTGCTTTTTCTCAGGGTTTAATTTCCTCCACATGTCTATCAAATTTAGTTCGATCATCATTTCTTCACATGTCTTCTCGCCCCCCCCCCCCCGCTACTATGATCTTTCTGGTAGTCCACAATAGCATTGAAATCCCCCAAGATGCAAATATTCCTTTTATCTAATTCCACTAATTTCCCATGTAATTGTTTAAAAAAATCATTTTGGTTATCGTTAGGGGCATAGATTACCACTAATAGAATTGGAATTGATTTGATCCAAATTTGTAACACCAGAATTCTTCCATTGGGGTCTATCCAAATTGGCTCTACTTTCATATCATCTTTCACATATACTGCTATCCCTTTCTTTTTCCTAAAATCTGCTGGCGACGTATACAAATTCCCTAGCTTGGGGCATTCTAGATATTTTTCTTCTTCCTTCCTTATATGAGTTTCCTGTAAACATATTATATCTGCATTTTGTTTAATTAATTTAGTTAATATTCTTTTCCTTTTTATCCTAGAGTTTAGGCCATTTATGTTAATTGATAGTATTTTTTTTTCTTCATCCATCACCTAATTGACTCTTGCTCTTTGTCTTGTAGTTACTCCTGTCTCTCTTTGTGGCTGATTGTGTGTCTTCGGTTCTTCTCTCTCTTGATGTTGTTTGTTTTTCGAATTCCTACAATTCCCATCTCTATTTTTTTGGTAGTCTTGGTCGTCTTGCAAATTCTTCATGGCCTATCAATTGTTCGTAGAATTCTTGGGCTTTTTCCACAGAGTCTACTTTAATTTTTCTTTCTTCCCAAGTGATTAGCATTCCCTCTGGGATTAGCCATCTAAATATGATACCTTTTTGGTTGAATTGGTTCGCCAAGAATTTATAATCTCGCCTCTGCTCTCTCATTCTTCTTGGGATTTGTTTAAGCACCAAGATTTATTTTCTTTTGTATGTAATTGTTTCTTCTCAAGAAATTTTGTATATAATATCTCAAACTTTCCTTCTGGCAAATCTCACATGGACCTCTTTTGGATGTTTATGTCGTCTTGCGTAATTTGTGCTCACTCTGTATACTTCATCTAACTCTTTTAGGATATCGTCCTTATCTTTTTCCAATAGGTCTGCTAATATTCCTGCCATCATTTGTTCTAAGTCCTCTTCTTTAGATTCCATTATATTTTGGAATCTTAGATATGCTGCGGCCTTGTCCATTTCCAAATATACCAAGGAGTCGTCCATTTCTTTACTCACATTTCTTAATTGCTGACCAATCATTTCCAGCTTCTTTTCCGTTTGTTCCATTCTTTTCTCAACCTCCTTTATTGTTGATTCATTCCTTTCTAGTGCTTGCTGTATTGTTTCAATTTTTTGATCCAACTTGAGGATGTCTAGTTTCATTTCTGCCTTTAAGTTTCCCATCTCTTCTTTTAGTTCATTTGTGTCAGCTCTTGATTCGATTTGATTTTTTACCACTATTTCCTGAAGCTTCAGCATGGACTCTTGTAAAGTAAGAAGGGTCGATTGAATATTGGCATTCGTAATGATAGGTTATTTTTCTCCAGATAGAGTTTCTTCAATTGTCTTTTGTGTCATCACTGAGGTTGATGGCATTGAAGTTGTTTGTATTGAAGAGGTCTTCTTTCCAGTTTTAAGCGTTGTATTAGTGACAGAGGTCATTTCTTGTAAAATTTGTTTTTGTTTTTGTATTATATTAAATATGTTGTCCCAAATTAACATTCACATTCACTGAAGTGTCTTAATATAATTGTTCAGTTCTTCAAGATTCCTTCACCGAGCGCACCGGAAGCACAGAGTTGCTGAGTAATGTCTCTGATTTCACTATCTCACCACACTTTCCTCTGTAGTCATTTCTCCTTTCGTTTAAAAGTTTTACAAGTCAATTTTTAGATTCAAATAGTCTCTTTCTTTAATAAATCTTCTCCACTTACTACAGCTCCAGTCCAATAATCCAAAAGGAGACCAGTAAATTATTCAGTTTCATTTGTGGAACATTTAAAGTTGTATTTTAATTCCTTACATCAAGTCTCCCCCCATCTCGAGTTCATCCTTCCAATTTTCCCCAAAGTCCACAATTCAAATCCTTTAAAGTTCCCTTAAATTAAATTGTTATTCTTTCTTCTTCTTTTTTTTTCTCTCCCCCAATTATTATCCGTCTCTCAGATCCCTCCGATTCTCTTATCTTCTCTGTC